GGTTGAAGGGAATGAAGCAGCAGACAGGGAAGCAAAAAGAGCAACAACACAACAAGTTAACTTTATAATAACTACAATCCTCCTGTCAGTTCCTCTGGTCAGAACTGAACTAGGACAAAGAGCATTCAGCTTCGCCGTCCCCTCAGCCTGGAACAACTTACAGACACATTTGAAACTATCAACACTCATCTCGCCTAGATCCTTCATGTCAACCGTATCAGATAATGTTATCAAAAATCTGGACCATTGCAGATGTTTCTAAAACACTACTTATCAAATATACATGTCTTTGTTCACTTTTAACTCTGTCTACTTAACCTGATGTCTGTTCTACATTTAATGTCTACAGAAGTCTGTCTTATCCGGATGGTTTCAAACTGTTAACATTTATTTATCGTGATAGTAGTTTCTTTTTTCTTTTGATAAATGTAAATGCTTATTGTCAATTACCCTGTGACGTGTGCTGATGACCACTTGACCAGGTCACCCTTGTGAAAGAGATCTCGATCTCAACGGGCTCTACCTGGTAAAATAAAGGTGATTGATTGAATAAAGGTGATTGATTGAATAAAGGTGATTGAAGCAAATCAGAAGCAAGAAGCATGGTTAAAGAAAAACGGAAAGAAAAGTGTCAGAAAGAATGGAATGAAGAAACCAAAGGAAGATGGTATTATAAGATCCAAAGAAGAGTGGGAGAGATGAGAACAGGAGGGAGAAACAGAAGAGAAGAGAGATTAGTAACAAGACTGAGGTTTGGACACACTGGACTGAACAACACATTATTCACACTACATAAACACGAAACAGGAAATGGTCAGTATTGTGGAGAGACAGAAACAATAGAGCATGTGATTTTAAGTTGTCAGAGATATGAGAGAGAAAGAAGACACATGATGAAGGAACTTCGAAAGATTAAAGAAACATTAAATATCACAAACATACTACAGAGTCAGCAAGTAAGAGTGTAAAAATGTTGATAAGGTTCTTCATTAAAACAAAGCTGATCAATTTAAATAGAATAGAATAAATAATTTAACAATTAATTAATAATTAAACAATAGAATTTATTATTTTTTTTAAAAGCATTCTGACCCACACTCCAACCAGTCGGTGGCGGTAATGCACACCATAAGTTGTTTGCCAATCGCCAATAATAAAAAAAACCAGAAGAAGAAGAGTTAGCCAAAAGCAAGTAGGTATCTCTGCAGCCAAATTCTGAAGGCGTATCTGGGCGGTCATATCTGATTGGACTATAGGAAAATGGGCGTATCTGGGCGATCATATCTGATTGGACTATATGAAAAGAGGCGTGTCTGGCCGGCCGCATCTGATTGAACGATAGAAAAATGAGCGTGTCTGGCCGGACATATTTGATTGGACGATAGGAAAATAGGCGTGTCTGGCCGGCCACATCTGATTGGACGATAGAAAAAAAGGCTGAACGATAAAATGCCGTAACCACTGACACATTATGTCTAAAAACAAGTCGTTATTGGCAGATTGTGTTACCCACAGGCATATTATGTCTATGGTGTTAACCGGTTCGACATTAGCGGCGTCTCAGGTTCAACATTGCTCCAGTATACTGCCGCGGCGTCTCCATAACTTCTTTTTCCGACTCTCTTAACACAGAACTTCCGGTTACATTTCAAAATAACAGCAACATAACTGTGTAGTGGGGAGAGCTAAATGTTAGTTTTTTTTTTTTAATACCTAGCCATAACATTAAAAAACAAATTCCATTTTGGTTGTTAAAAAATGTGAACAAAGTTACAATCGATTCATAAAGAAAGAAAAATATTAATGATACTTAAACTGGCCTTGGGACAAAGGATGTTTCCTTTAACTTCACATTTTCTTGTTCAACCTGCAGTCACTACAGATGAGTGATTCTCAGGTTCTGTCAGATTTCTGCACCTGGAGCAGGTATTTCTGTTTACTGGTTAACTTCCTCAGCTGTCTCACATTTTAAAGGTCAACCCTACTTCATGTTTCAGTAGAAAACAAGCACATTTAGGAGCCAGTACATAACCAGACTTTTGGCCCTCACACCTATACCCAGTTGCTTATGCTGCATGATGAGATCAGATTTATCCATATTTTAGAAATTACATTTAGCTTAGTCGACAAAACAATACAAATGAAGACCGTCTGTCTTAAAAAAAAACCTCTTGGTTTTGCAGTAAGCAGCCTGATTTCAAACTGACATCTTGGCCAAAGGTAAAATAAAAATCTTTGTGTTCTCAGAGAAGTTGTTTCAGGACCTCCAATAAACTTATGTACACATCAAAGCACACAAGACAGATTCAGGAATTCTCTTTGTTTTCCAGATTTCACATTTGTTATTACCTTAAAACATACTCAGACAACATTTGATGCATCATTGAATTTTTTTATTGTGTTTATTGGGACGTCCATTTTTAGAAGTCATCGTAGCATCTGTTGGAAACACAGAACATAGTACAGTTAGAGTGTTGCTAGTTGTTACTTAATCCTGGATTGGATTTTAAAGTTAATTTTGATATTTTTTTCACAAGAAAAAAAAAGTTGATTTCCTAAAGTTTAACTATAAATGAAGGAATTTGTGCATTCAGGTAATTGAAAATTAAGTAATTTCTCTAACATCCAACCCATTTTAGCCACTGAGCCATACCAAACACCCATAATCTATTCTTGAATGAATTATTGACTATTTTTGACAAATTACAGACTTTTTATTGAATAAGTTATTACTCATTATTGAGTAATGAAAGTCAACATCAGATGTTGGTCAACATTGTTGAGCAACATCTTGGGGTCTTCTAGAGTCAGTCTGAAGTGAGAGAGGTCCCTGACATGGCAGAAAGACATAGATATAATTAACAGCTTTTATTTATTTATTTTTCAGCTAATAACAACTTTTATTTATTTGTTTTTCATATTTTTCAGTTATACTCAGCTTTTAAATATTTATTTTTCAAGTATTAAGAACTTTTATTTTCAGCTTTTATTTTGAAAAGCAACACCCAGTTGTTGTAAACGTGCACGGTGAGAGCTGCTGTGGAGGCTCACTTTACCTCAATGCGTTACGACAACAACGAGAGAACGGTCGAAACTATCGTGACCTACAATAAACGTACTTCAATAAAATGCATAAGTGAAAACATAACATACTTTATAAGTACAATAAATCATATTTCTTTGTCAAACATCGCAAAGAAACGTTACCTCATCAATGACTCGTGACTTTGGGGGTTACCCACAGCCAATCAGTGTTCGCCGCCGACAAACGCCTATTCGCCAGAAACGCCCACTTTTGGTCTGCAGAGAACCCCTTCTCGCCAAAAGTCGCATAAGTGACGTCATTTTCCCTAGCCGAAAGTTGCGAAGCTTGTAGGATCTCGCTGTGAAGATGGCTGGTGTACTGAAGAAGGTATGTCCAGAGGTCATGATTTAGTGTCGAGCTGCTGCGGAGGGACTTTGTGTGACAGAATGGCTCCTTAGCTCACGTGACTTGGGCACAACCAGGACAACAAGCGATGGTTCAGGTTCTGATTGCGCGGTGTTAAAAGCTTGCAGCGTTTACTCAGAACAGCTGTTCGTGGCTGCAGTGAGATTTACTGCGATGAACTGTCGACCATCAAACAAACAGCATTTCTTCCATTTTCATTTTATCTGCTGTTTTATGATCGTTGTCCGTTTCTCTTCTGTTCTTTGTTTAAATCGGGTCTCTTGTAAACGAGTCCTCGTGGCTCAATGAGACTCACCTGTAGAAATAAAGATAGTAACATCTCTTAACCAAACTCCAAAGTGAACTATTTATCAAGTTAAACTTGATCTGAATTGTTGCACGTATGAACTCAATTCTGTCCACAGAGTTGTTTTGTTTGAAACATCTTGTGTTGCAGAGCGAGAACTGCACGATGTGGCAACAATTGTTGTTAGTTAGAAATCTGAAGAACAAACTGGCAACACTGAACAAACGAAAAGCACACACTTAACTTTCCACCTGAAATCATGGAGTCAAACATTCACTACGAGTCACCCCAGCTACACACGAGCACTGGTTTACACACTGGTTTACACACTGGTTTACACTTGTCCTGCAGTGTTTGTTACTGTTGTAGAAAAAACACTGAAGAAATAGAAAACTCCAACACAGATTCATTCTGTGCAAAAATACTGATGGAATAGTAATAATTTGTTGTATTTGTACTGCACTTTACATTTTATAATCTCAAATTACTATAATATAAAACAGACTTAAAAAATAAAAAAAAATAAAAACAGCAGGATTGAAAATACATTTAAATACTATAAAATATTTTTTAAATAAAAAGTCCATCAGTCCTTTCTTAAAACTTTCTGTATTCTGGGCCATCCTTGGATGGTCGGGGACGTTGTTCCACAGACGAGGAGCAGCAGAGCAAAAGGCCCTGTCGCCCACGTTGTCGCTCACGTTGTCGCCGCCCATGTTGTCGCCGCCCGTGGTGTCACCCATGTTGTCACCCGTGGTGTTGCTCGTGGTGTCACTGCTCATGTTGTCGCTCACGTTGTCGCCCACGTTTTTGCCCACGTTGTCGCCCGTGGTGTCGCCGCCCATGTTATCGCCGCCCGTGGTGTCGCCCGTGGTGTCACCCATGCCGCTCGTGGTGGTGTCGCCCGTGTTGTCGCCCATGCTGTCGCCGCCCGTGGTGTCGCCGCCCGTGGTGGTGCCGCTCGTGGTGTCGCCCGTGTTGTCGCCGCCCGTGGTGTCACCCATGTTGCCGCCCATGGTGTCACCGCCCATGGTGTCGCCGCCCGTGGTGTCGCCGCCCGTGGTGTCGCCGCTCGTGGTGTCGCCACCCGTGGTGTTGCTCGTGGTGTCGCCGCTTGTGGTGTCGCCGCACGTGGTGTCGCCGCACGTGGTGTCGCCCATGTTGTCGCCCGTGGTGTCACCCATGTTGTCACCCGTGGTGTTGCCGCTCGTGGTGTTGCCGCTCGTGGTGTCGCCGCTCATGGTGGTGCCGCCGCCCATGGTGGTGCCGCTCGTGGTGTCGCTCGTGATATCGCTCATGGTGCCGTTGCTCGTGGTGCCGCCCATGCTGCAGTTTTGTCTGGGGAGGGCGGAGCTGGTAGGAAATTGTGGAGCGGAGGTTTCGTGTTGATGTCTGAGCAGTTCTTTTGTGGAGTTGTAAATGTGAGTCAGGAAACCTTGTATTCAATACGGAGTGAAATGGGAAGCCAGTGGAGGGATTTAAGGATCGGGGTAGGGCTGGGCAATATCTCAGTATTTTTAAAATATCGAGATATATCGTCAAAAAATAATAATAAGTTGAACTATCTCGATATAAAACGATATAGTTTCATACTTGGAAATCCTCTTGCCGTCTTCTTCCTCCCACTCGCCCCGCTCCTCCCTCCTTGAACACAAACACACAGCCCTCAGCCACGCTCCCCCTCTCCTTCCTGTTTCTCCAGGAGGTGGGCAGGACGAGGAGACGTTTAGCAGAAGTAAACACAGCAGCTGACTGTGTGTGTGAAGCTGCAGCTCTGACAGACCTGTCTCCTTCCTTGAAATAAACCACGGTTCAGAGCTCATTTAGCCGTGGCACAGGCACAGGCCTGTTAGGGTGCATTCACATCAGCCCTGTTTAGTCCACTTTAATAGAACTCTAGCTCGTTTTCCTAGAAAGTCCGGCTCGTTTAGGGAGGTGTGAACGCACCATCGAACTCTGTCACGGAACAAAAAGGCGAACTCTGGCCCGGGCTAAAACCTAGGTCTCGGTCCGGTAGAAGTGAACTCCAGCACGGTTCGAGTACAGTGTGAATGTAAACAGACCGAGCCCCGCTCCGCAGGACAAACAAACACGCATTTCTCTGACCTCATACGGAGCTGTCAGCTGCCTTGTGTGAAAAACAATATTCTCCATGGTCTTCTGTCTCATCTTCTGCTCATGCTAAGTCCATTTTTGAAAAATGACTAAATATAACTCCTAAAACTGCTAAAACTTGATGCCACTTCATTTTTATTTACAGAAGAAGAAGAAGAAGATGTGTCTTCAGAGGTTTTTGTGTCGTTTCTTTCAGTAGTTCTTGGTGCAGCGCCCCCACAGGTGAGCGGGGGAATAGGTTGGTTCAACAGGTTAGCTCGACTGCACAGTGCAGTGTGAATGCAAACGCACCAGCTCAAATGTAACAAAATGTCATGAATATTGGTCCCCAACCGAGTCTACCGGACTATCTGGTGTGGAAACGACCTTAGAGGAACAGAGAGAGGAAGCGCGACATTAATAAATTAGCAGTTCATCATATCGCTGAAGATACGGTCCGTAGCAGCTAACAAGATGGTTAACACTTTAGGTTTGCTTCAAGGAAGGAGACAAGTCTGTCGGAGCTGCAGCTTCAAGGTTCCAAGTGGAGGCTCACTACCGCAGTTCACACACGCTTACTAACATGAAACTGAATGAACTACAGCTCCTTTCTATCTCATCAAGACACTCAAAGCTCGTTACAACACAGTCTGTGCCTCATTTACCCATTCATATAGCACTCTACTAGAGCTCTACAAAGACTAATCAGAGCTTTATCACATTCATACACTGATGGACACACATCTGAGACAATGAGGGGTTCAGTGAAACATGTTGAAGTGTTCAGGGACACTTCAACATGTGACTGCTGGTGGAATCAAACTCTCAACTCTAGCATTGGAGGACGACTACTCTAACCACTCAGCCACAGCCGCCCCCAGCTGAAGAGGATTGTTATTTAATATATGTAAATAAATGTCTAAAAAATAAACTTTTGTTTTTAAACGTTTAGTTTGTTCAGTTACAGCTGTTAATAAACGAGCCTGTGTGACAATGGGGACAAAACTTTAACTCAAATATATTTTTATTACTTGATGGAAAGAAAAAATATTGAGATATATTGTATATCGCAATTTTTGTAAAAATATGGAGATATAAATTTTGGTCCATGTCGCCCAGCCCTAGATGGGGGGGGTGATGTGGTGATGTTTCCTTTGCTTCATCAGAGTCCTGGCTGCACTGATCTGCACATACTGAAGTTTGTGAATGTGCTTGGATGGAATTCCATCAAACCGTGTGTTGCAGTAGTCCAGTCTTGAGACGAAAGCATGGACAAGTTTTTCAGCATCGGGAAAGGAGAGTAATGGACGGAGTTTGGAGATGTTTTTCAGATGGAAGAATGAAGCCTTGTAAAGTTTTTAATATGAGAATCAAATCGTACACCGACTGCATCAGAATGTTCAGCCGTGTTTCCACTGAAGGCAGGTGGACCTGAAATGGCTCAAACATTTAATTTTCTCCTTCTCTTTCAGACAACTGGCTTGGTTGGTCTCAACGTGTGCCAGAATCCACACAAGGTGATCAAACACTTTCAACAGAACTGCAGTGTTTAATTAGTCCTTTTCTTTTTGACTAATGCTTCAAATGATCAAAATGCAACGTGACTCTTACATGTGAGCCAAGTGGTAAATGTTTGTAGTTGTAAAAGCTGCTGTAAGAGAGATGCTTTCAAAACTATTTAATATCTGACGTGTTTACAGTTGATAAAGACACGTGCTTCATTTCTCAGCATCTTCAGGTTCTCTACACGAAGATTCTGGCAGTACTGCAGACCATGCCTCGAGACGCTGCCTACAGGAAGTACACAGAGCAGCTGGTGAACGAGCGCTTGAGCCATGTCACCACGGTCGGTGTACGACGGCTGCATCAATTCCAGCTCTAGTCAACTTTGTATTTGCTGAAATGATCTGTGTCCACAGGAGCCAAGTGTTGAGAAGTTGGAACAGAAAATAAACTGTGGTCTGATCGAAGAAGTCATCAACCAGGTAGGAAGAGTTCACCACTGTCACACAACACATGGGATTCATGAAGCCACTTCAAGTGGTTCAAACGTGCCTTTAGACTGACTGAACATGAGAACACTGGAGGAGCATCCCGCCTGTCAGTACCTTCAGTCATTCGACCTGTATTTGTCCAGGTCAGTCCCACTGAGCCTCACGGACTCATTTACAAGAGACTCCTGATTTCAGAAAGTTCAACAGTTTCAGGAGTGATGTGTGACAAAAGGGTGTCAACAAAGGTCCAAGGAAAAGTTTACAACCAGCTGTGTTGTTTGGTCTGGAGACAGAGACATGGACAAAAAGACAGAAGAACAGGAAGTGGCAGAGATGAAAAAGTTGAGGTTCTTCTTAGGAGAGACAAGGACGGAGAAGATCAGGAATGAGATCATCAGAGGTACAGCACAGGTTGAACAACTGGGAGATGAAGTTAGAGAGGACACACTGAGATGGTTTGGACATGTCTAAACTACTGTCCAGAGGAGGGAGGGACAGTGGTTTGGACATGTCCAGAGCAGGGAGGGACAGTGGTTTGGACATGTCCAGAGCAGGGAGGGACAGTGGTTTGGACATTTCCAGAGCAGGGAGGGACAGTGGTTTGGACATGTCTAAACTACTGTCCAGAGGAGGGAGGGACAGTGGTTTGGACATGTCCAGAGGAGGGAGGGACAGTGGGTATATTGGTAGAAAGATGTTAGAAATGCAGCTGCAGAAAAAAGACAAAGAGAGGACATGGAGGTAGTAGGAGTGAGGACAGATGATGCAGAGGACAGAGTGAGATGGAAGAGGACTCACTGTGGAGACCCCCTGAAGAGGGAAAAGCAGAAGAAGAGTTCAGGCTTTCTGCTCTTTGTTCACATAAACATTCCACTTGACACATTTTCATTAAAAATACACGGATTCATCAAGTAAACGCTACAAGGACTGTGATCGTGAACACTTGGACACAGGAGTAATTCAGGGACTTTCGTTGACTTCAAGGAGTTTGTCTGTCAAACAGTTTGGTGACTCAGAAGAAAAGCAGGCCCCATCCCAGGTCATGCTTGTTTGGACTGGGAATCTGCTGAGCTGATGAAGGAGCACTTTGAGGATCTCCTTTTTCCAGCTAGCATGTCTACCTTAAAGGAAGCAGAGCCAAAGGTCTCAGTGGAAGACAAGTCCATTTCCATGGCTGAGGTCAAAGCTAGTGAAAAGAGAACTTGGTGAGGGTTGTCTCAGGAAGGACATCCAGTGCACAACAAACATGCGAGTTGTCCAAGCGACACCATACCAGATTGGTCGAGGTCCAGGTTAATGACCGCCACCGGTGCTATAAACAAACTGTGTGCCACAGCTAGCTGAATAGCACAAGGATGGAAATGTGCCAGGAGACAGTTATGAGTGTAGGACTGAAGGCAGCAGCTGTAAACAGAGCTGGCTGACATGATGCAGAGAAGGAAGGTAGATGTTTTATGTGTCCAAGAGACCAAGGCTCGCAGCATTGGAGCAGGGTTCAAACAGTTTGACCATGGTGTGGATAGAAAGAGAAATGGAGCAGGGCTCGTCCTGGAGGAGGAGTTGGCAAAGAATGTAGTAGAGGTGAAGAGAGTGTCTGAACGTAGAAGGTCTGATGCTAAATGTTGTCAGTGGTTATGATGCACAGGTTGGATGTGATGAGGAGGAGAAAGATGTGGATGAGGAGAGGGAGAAGTGATGGGAGCAGACCTGAATGGACATGTTGGTGAAGGACACGGAGGATGAGGAAGTGATGGTAGGTTTGGTGTGAAGGAAAGGAACCAGGAAGGACAGATAGTGGTGGATTTCATCAAATAATAAATAATAGAAATAATGGCTGGAGTCAACACCTATTTCCAAACGAGGGAGGAGCACAGAGTGACCTGTAAGAGTGGAGGAAGGTGAAATGAAGGTCATGAACACCTGGAACACAGAACAATGTTTAGCTTTAACCTTCTCACCCCAGCAACTTAATCGACTTTGTTCTTTGCAGTCATGGAACATGTTCTTCTGTCATCACAGTGTGTGTGTGTGTGTGTGTGTGCAGGCAGAGTGTGAACTGGCTCTGTCCAAGAAGATGGTCCAGTGGAAACCATGGGAGCCCCTGATTGAAGAACCTCCATCCGACCAGTGGAAGTGGCCTATCTGAAGGAACCTCTCTCTCTGTGTGTGTGACTTCTCTGCTTCCAATAAAATCTGCAATTCTGTCATTTTAACGTCATTTATTGCATAATACAGATTATAACGAATACAAGTACACAAGCAGCAGGCCCCTCTTTGATCTTAGTACACAAGCGCAGTGACGACGTGTTTTTAAGTTCCACATTAAGAATAAAATGATTTGACTGAGAATTCAGCTGAACTTGAGACAATGCTCTGGAACAGCATCTTCTTCAGGCTTTGGCTTCCTGACCTCCACTGGTGGCTCTCTGTAACAGCTGGAGCATGATGGGATAGATGGGGGCAAATTGTTTCACCTGGCGAGTTCGGACCACCTGCACGTAGGCCTCCAGGGCTCCCCTGAGGGACGACACACACACACACATCAGTGCACACAACACACTGGACGCTGTGTATGGCAGGAACAAGAGCCATTTAAACCACTGAATAATGTTGGACATTATATTCATCTTTCTATGTTCACTGCACTGATGAAGCACAGCCTGCTCCTCCACTTCTACACTCTCCATCATTTCTGCTGCTTCGTTCACACGTTTGAACCACGCCACTTAATGCTGACACTCATTTATGATCTTTGTTTTTGGAAGACGTGGGTAAAGATCATGGAGCGAACGAGCTTCCTGCCACCAAAACATTTAGCCTCGAGACACCCAGGGACTGGCAGCTGCCCAGTCCCAGTACTAGCCGTGTTACAGGCACTGTTCAGAAAAAAAACATTTACTGTGCATGCTACGGTTCATATTTAATTCAAAGTTTAAAAAACCCTTTTGTGTAAGTATGTCATGCTACAACGAGGACGCCTGCAGCTGATAGACACGCGGCCTATTTATGGACAAAATGATTATTTTTTCTAAATTCAGGGGGCACAACTTATATTCAGGTGCAGAAATGATGGAAGTGTAAAGCAGGGGTTGTATCTTCAGAGCCAGCAGAAGGTAACGGATGTTCAAGTGTTTGAACATGAACCTCCAGTCTACAACCTGCTTGAATATTTTATGGATAAGGTGAATTAGAGTGTAGTCTGAAGAAAAGCTCAGTTATGTCTCATGTTGTTTAAGGCCAGTCCAGGAAGTATCCTGCTCCTCACACAATACGTGACTTTAGAAACGCCTCACCTGATGAGGCTGAGCCGGTCTCTCTCAGAGGGGTGCTCATCCAACCACTGGGAGTAACGAGCAACGGACCATTCTGCTCTCTGCAGAAGAAAGCCCACATCACACGAACAGTTACAACACTTCAGCACACACACAAGTAATATGTTTCTACTTGGTTTTTGTTTAGAGGACTTTCTGCTGTAATCTGGACTTTGTGTGTGTCGGGGAGGTGGGGGGGGACCTTATCTTAATTTGGTGGAACATCACTTCTGGGTTAGGACTAAGGTGTGAATAAACATTTTCTTTGAAAATCACAGGTTATTTTTACGTGCATGGCTTAAAAAACTATTCTTGGTGATACATGTTATTAACCTGAC